CTCGAACAAGATGCCCAGCAAATGTAAATACCTATTCAATACACTGTTTACCATCTCTCAAGAGGCAGAAAAATACCAGCTGATGAACAAATCAGTTTGAAAGTATGTGTGAAAAATAAGTGGTGCATTAAGTACAGTACATGAAAATACAACTATAGTTATGAAACTATAAAAATGCAAATATAAATTCTTAAAACTTATTACCATAAACTATGAATGTAAAGTCTCCAAAAAGTATTGTTAAGAATTTGTAAACAATAGGATAAAACTCAAGTGAGTGACCAAAAACCGTCATTCTAGAGGTATTACATCATTATTTACATATTTCAGAGAATCTTAAGTTTTTTTCACTTTATGTTCAAAGTGTTATTTCACACAGCTGAATGCAGCCGTAGATTATAGAGCTGTGTGCAGTTGGGTGCATGGACCCAGATTATAACATACAGTTGAATTAAGATCCCTAAAAAAGAATATTTATTAAGGATCTAAATGCAGTGTTTTTTGTATCTGTTTGTATGAGCCTTCATGGGAAATCCAACAATTGTGAATTGTTGTGAGCAAAAATCTTCCAATAGGGAATCCTGTTCTATTGAAAACTGCTTAAAGTGGTATTAAAGCCAAAAGCAAACATTTATTATACTGCAGCTCACAAATTCTTAGATGTAATGGCTGCATTAGTCTCCTTTTTGGGCTCTTTCTTTCTTCTAGTTTCATTTAGTGATGCAGCCAGCAAGCTCCCCAGTAGAATGTATCCGTATACATGGATGTGACAAACCACTTAACACTGACAGGGGTGATTAACCCCTTCCTGTCGACAGTACACATATATGTGGGTCCTTACCTGTGGGGCCACATATATGTGTACTTGTCTTTGTGCAGGGAGTGTACCACACAGCATGCTCCCAACAAAGAGACTGGGCTCTCACTGAGAGCCCCGGGATCGTACTAATGATCGGAACTTGAGACTCCCAGTTCCCGTTCACCTGATCTCTGTGATCAGTCACTGTGCATCCCACCTATGTGTTTTCTTTCTCCTCTGAATGGAGAAAAAACACTAAACAGCCCATCATATACAGCCAGGCCATCAGATGCCACCCAATATGTTCAGACCCGGAAGCCACAGATAAACATCTCAGAACACTAGCAGACTCCTTCCATAAAAATGGTTACAAGGAAAAAACCATCAACACCGGCATAAACACAGTCCTGAAAACCCGAAGAGAAAATCTACTCCAACACAAAGAGGAAACAACAAATAACATGTACCTCTAGTAACCATATACAATCCAGCAATCCCTGTACTATCTGTCAAATTTGAAAACAGCACAGCTGTGCAAGGTTCCGCCCACATGGACACGTCATTCATTCACGGACTTCCATGAATGCATGAACTGCAAGTCCTGACAGCCTTAGCATCTGTCCGCTTGTAGTTTTCAAAAAATTAACTAGATCAAGGTTTGATCTAAATCAGTGCCTTGGTTAGTGTTAGGGTCAAGGTAACAGTCAAAGGTCATGGTCAGTATATTTTTGGGTTAGGGTTTTTTTTTTAACAGATTTTTAAAGTGGTAATAAAGGCTGAAGATTTTTTAACTTCATGCATTCTATGCATGAGGGTAAAAAAACCTTATGTGTGCAGTGCCCCCCCCACCCACCCCAATCGTGAGCCCTCTCGAATCCAGTGATGGTCACAATAGCCTCGGCTGTATGGGGACTCTCCCTCCTCATTGAATGAGATTGCAGTTGGCTCCCACTGCTGTCAATCACAGCCAGTGAGCCAATGAGGAGAGTGAGGGGTGGGGCCGAGCCACGGCTTCTGAACAGAAAGAGCAGTGGCTCAGGAACAAGTGTGTAGCGGTGCCCCTAGGGCAAGAAGCTTGCTCTGGGGGCATTGCTCAAGGGGGAGGAGCCAGAGCATCAGCAGTGGACCCAAAAAGAAGAGTATCGGAGCAGATGTATGCAAAACTACTGCATAGAGCAGGTAAGTATGACATGTTTGTTATTTTTTATTTTAAATAAAAAACCCATGAAGCTTTAGTATCACAAGTTAGTATCAGTGTCAGTTAGTGTCAGTGTGTTTTAGGTAGTATAAAAAAAGCAAAATGTGCATTATTGTTTCTGGGCCTTACTACGGCACATACAAAAAAATAACACACACATATGTGGTACTTTTTTGGTGGTAGTATATGGTAATAGCAAGAAATATACAGCTAAGTTAAAAAAGGGCCAGTTTTTCTTTGATGATAAAAAAAGAAATTGGGAAATATCCATTACCATTTACCACCAGAAAAGCCCAAAAACAAGGTATAATCCTCCTGCATACACAAAGTAGTGATAATATGTACAGTTTTACTAACAAATTTATTAAATTGTGTTCAGGCATTAACATTTGTTTTATCCTCAGTCACTAAAGAGGTTAAACTGATCATATTGTATTAGTTCATGCAAAACCTTTATCTCAAAAGAAAAAAAAAACTGTTTGCTGTAACTGATTATAAAGTGCGACCTAGAGTTTCACTTAAATTTGTTTAGGGTATTTAAATCTGCTAATATATTTAAAGCTACCTTTTCCCCAAACGGATAATGCTGATGTCTGCTGTGCCTCCTGTGCTCATTTCTCCATTCATCTAATGATTGCTAAACTACAATATAATAGATTTTGGTTTTGGGTTTAATATTGCTTTAAGCAGGGATGTACATTCACTTTAGAGAGATCTGCTATGTGTCTGGGACAGGAAATGAAGAAAAATTTCCCCGAAAGAACATTTTAGAATCATTTCTTTTTTCACTCTATGGAAAACGAAACTAAAAAAGTTTTAGCTTTACATACACTCTAATACATATGACTCTTTTCACACATAAAATGTAGCTGAGCATTATAATGAAATCAGAAATTTTTTTTGTGATAATTGTCTTTTAATCATTGACAACTTTGATTTTTTTTTGTGTCAATGCTATTTTAAGTAATGTCACAGCTATATGTCCTATATGTTGTTAAACAGTAACCTCTACCAGCTACCAGAAAACATAAACTCTCTTCTCTTTTAGTGGAGAAAACATCTATGTACTGTATGTCCATCAGCAGCACATGGTCAATAAGTAGTTCACAGTAAAATCACTATAGTCTAACCTGGTTATGTAGTAAAAAGGCAGAAGCTTGTTTGCATTTGTTTGAATTTTCAAGAGATAATGAAGAAGACTTGCAGCTGAATGGCAATGTCAAGGGAGGCATCAAATTTATAATTTACTACTTCTATAATAATTCAGTTTTGCGTTCCAGAGGAAGATACGGAGACTATTGGCTTTCCTTTCATTAGAATAACACCAAAAGAAAATTGGCTAAATATTGATGAATTTTTACACATTAATATTTAATAGCTACCCTGCGCAATAAATTATGGATTTCTATAAACAAAAAGATGGGATTAAGCACATGTAAAAAAATTTTTCTTTCTTAGCATATTAAGAACAATTACTGTAAGTTATTCAGATGGAACAATAGGAAAAGACAGGACTGAGCGCATTAGGAGATGTAGAGCTGCTAAAAATCATTTTGGGAAATTAGTGTCTTAACAATGCTAAAGTTTTGTAAATAGAGAACTTTGTCTAAAAAGTGAAAAGAGCAATGATCAACATGCAATTAAAGCAAAAAACAAAATTTTATTTAATTTGCTTGATTGCAGTCAGATTAATGATTGACCATTGATTTTGTCTAATGTGGCAGGATCATACTGTTTGGGGTTACCATAACCATACCACTAGAGAGTCAAAAAAAATACTTGTTATATATTCCAGACTGGCCTTCACACCTGTATGAGCTTGTTGGACATCCCATTCCAAAACCGTACAAATCTGGATTTGCTCCCTCCTCTCCATTGCTGTTTTAACATTTACTGTTCTGGGAAGACTTACCATTTTGAGCATGTCTAAGAATTTAGGTGCATCCAGCAAAAAGAGCATTTATGAGGTCAGGTCAGGGTCAAGTGGTGACTTAATCAAAGACCAACAAAGGTGCCCTTCTCAGCCCCTTCATTGCTTAACTGACAAGTGACAGTAAGTTATATCCTTATTCTTCAAAACTAATCAATACAGATTCACTACCTAATGGCCCTGTAATCTGTTTCTTAAGCAGGCCATGCATGGATCGAAATTCGGACATTTCAGCAGAGATTTGCCAAGTTTCTATGCATGAAAGGGCAGGGAGTACAGAAGTCAGTCTACCGATTGATTTCTATACAACCACGCTAGTGTGATTTCCCTGCTCAGTCAGGGCCATAGGCTATAGCCTGCAATGCTGATCAGTGTACTATGATGTTGGGGAAGTCTCCACGCTGTCAGAATATAGGTGGTGGAACAATCAATATCAATAAATTTCCACCACCTTAACCTATGGGACCGTGTCAAACCAGATTTTTCTAGAAATGTACCTTTGGGATATAGTTTGAATTTACTTACCTATAATTAGTAAAGAGACTGGTCACATGTTCACATAACAGTCCTGGAATGAGCTGGTACCTATAAAAACAAAATAAAGTGTGCAGGTAATTTCATTCGGTGGTATAACCACTAGCCTACAGGGCATTTATACCCCCTTCCTGCCCAGGCCAATTTTCAGCTTTCAGCGCTGTCACACTTTGAATGACAATTGCGCGGTTATGCAACATTGTACGCATACCAAATTTTTATCTTTTTTTTTTTATACAGATAGAGCTTTATTTTGGTGAGATTTAATCACCTCTGGATTTTTTATTTTTTCTTAAACAAACCAAAAACCACTGAAAATTTTGAAAAAAAAAGTTTTTTCTTAGATTTTGTTACAAAAATTTTGTAAATAAGTGAATTTTCTCCTTCACTGATGTGCGCTAATGAGGCTGCAGTGATGGGCACTGATAGGCTGCACCTATGGACACTGATAGGTGGCACTGATGGGCACTGATGAGGAGGCATTGGTAGGTGGCACTGATGGGCATTGACAGGCATCACTGATGGGCACTGAAAGGCAGCACTGATAGGCGGCACTGATAGGCGGCACTGATTGGCATTGATAGGCGGCACTGATGGGTGACACTGAAAGGCATCTCAGATGGGCACTGATATGTGGCATTGATGTGGCATTGATGGGCACTGGCAGGTGGCATGGATGAGCACTGACAGCTAACACTGATGGACACTGACAGGTGGCACTGCTGCGGCTACACAGATCATCAGGGTGCACTGATCATCGGTGCCCTGATGATCAGTGTACATGTCCCCTCCGAGGAATGCCGATTACCGTCTCTCCTCTGTCAGCGTGACAGCTCGTGAGGAGAGAAATGCCGATAACCGCCACTTCCCTATTTACAAGCAATCAGCTGTGATTGGACACAGTTGATCACATGACCGAGCCGACATCTTCGGCTCTTTCCGTTGATCGGTGATCCGCTGTGTCCGAGGGACACAGCCCACCACCGATCGCCGCGCACTTCTGGAGGTATTGGTACTTTTGGTAGTGTGAGCAGGTGCCAAATCTTACTGGAAAATGAAATCAGCATCTCCATAAAGCTGGTCAGCACAGGGAAGCATGAAGTGCTCTAGAATTTCCTGGTAGAGGGCTGTGCTGACTTTGGACTTGATAAAACACAGTGGACCAACACAAGCAGATGACATAGCTCCCCAAACCATCACTGACCATGGAAACTTCACACTGGACCTCATGCAACTTTGATTCTGTGCTTCTCCACTCTTCCTCCAGTCTTCCCCATGATTGTGTAACCTACTGAATCAGACTGAGAGACCATTTAAAGTCTCAGGAAACCTTTACAGGTTTTTGAGTTAATTAGCTGATTAGAGTGTGATACCATGAGCCTACAATATTGAACTTTTTCACAATATTCTACTTTTCTGAGATAGTGAATTTTGGGCTGTCATTGCTGTAAGCTATAATCATCAAAATTAAAAGAAAATAAATCGCTCTGTGTGAAATTAAACTATATAATATACGTGTTTCGCTTTTTGAAGATTTTCTAATTTATTGAGATGCACATATATATATACAGTATTTGTGCTCAATAAGTGCTATGTTGGGACAAGGCTTACCAAGGCCTATAGTGACAAGAATACTGTATAGCATGATGGTGGCTCACTGATGTTTTGGGGGGTGTGAGCTCTAAAGGCATCTTGTTAAAATTGATAGCAAGATGAATGCAGCATGTTATTAGAAAAATAGTGGCAGACAATGTGCATTTTTCTGCATGAAAGCTACACATGGAATGCTCTTGGACTTTCCAGCACGACAGTGCACGAGACCAAGTTGATCTTACAGTGGTTTGAACATACAGTTCATGCAAGACAACCAAAGACTCTGAATGACCTGGAGGCATTTTGCTAAGATGAATGAACATCTATACCACCTGCAAGAATTCAGGGCCTCATAGACAACTATTACAAAAGACTGCGCGTTGTCATTGATGCTAAAGGAGCAATACACATTATTAGGAACTAAGGGTATGCAGACTTTTGAACATGGGTCATTTTATTTGTTTACTTGTTGCCATGTTTTATTTTATGATTGTGCCATTGTGTTATAACCTACAGTTGAATATGAATCCCGTAAGAAATAAAAGAAATATGTTTTGCCAGATCACTCATGTTTTCTTTAGAAATGGTATATATTGTATATTACCAATTCTTCAAGGGCATGCACACTTTTGAGTACAACTGTATATATATATATATATATATATACACACTATATTGCCAAACGTATTGTGACACCCCTCCAAACAATTGGATTCAGGTGTTCCAATAACCTCCATGGCCACAGGTGTGTAAAATCAAGCACCTGAGCATGCAGACTGCTTCTACAAACATTTTTGAAAGAAGGGGTCTCTCTCACTGGACTCTAGAGCAGTGGAGATGTGTTCTCTGGAGTGACAAATCATCCTTCTCTGTCTGGCAATCCAATAAACATGTCTGGGTTTGGTGATTGCAAAGAGAACGATACTTGCCTGACTGCATTGTGCCAAGTGTAACGTTGGTGGAGGGGGGATTATGGTGTGGGGGGGTTTTGTTTTCAGGGGTTGGGGTTGGGCTTGGCCCCTTAGTTCCAACGGGCTTGGCCCCTTAGTTCCAGCAAAGGGAACTCATAAGCAGCCAACATACCAAGACATTTTAGACAATTTCATGTTCCCAACTTTGTCGGAACAGTTTGAGGATGGCCCCTTCCTGTTTCAACATGACTGCACTCCAGTGCACAAAGCAAGGTCCATAAAGACATGGATGAGCGAGTTTGGGGTGGAGGAGCTTCACTGGCCTGCACAGAGTCCTGACCTCAACCCGATAGAACACCTTTGGGATGAATTAGAGCGGAGACTGCGAGCCAGGCCTTCTCGTCCGACATCAGTGCCTGACCTCACAAATGCGCTTCTGGAAGAATGGTCAGACATTCCCATAGACACAGAAAAGTTGAAGCTGTTATAGCTGCAAAGGGTGGGCCAACTCCATATTGAACCCTATAGACTAAGAATGGGATGCCATTAAAGTTCATGTGTGTGTAAAAGCAGGCATCTCGTTGGACATCAGTGCCTGACCTCACAAATGTGCTTCTGGAAGAATAGTCAAACATTCCCATAGACACACTCCTAAACCTTGTTGACAGCCTTCCCAGAAGAGTTGAAGCTGTTATATAGCTGCAAAGGGTGGACCAACTCAATATTGCAATATTGAACTCTACGGACTAAGACTGGGATGCCATTAAAGTTCATGTACGTGTAAAGGCAGGCGTCCCAATACTTTTGGCAATATAGTATATAAATGTGTGTATATATATTGGTATAGTATGGTATATTATTTAAGGTGTTTAATTATGTATTATTTGTGTTATTTATACTAATATCATGTTTTCTATTAGTATTATTACCAGTAATAAAGGGACACATAATTTCAATCCATTTATTTGTGTTTAGCGTGTAATAATTAATCACTCTGTTATTAGCAGGGTTCTGTTCTATGATCCCATGCAGTAGGTCAGCGTGCAGGTTTCCCCTATCCACACTGTTCAACTCAGTCCATCTCAGGAGTAAACAAGAGAGGGTGGCTACATTCCAACATACAGTGGGACCATGGAGAATGAATGTAGACAACCTGTAACAGGAAGTCAGTTTATAGCAGAAAAAAAAAAGAATTTGGAGATTTGAAAGAGGCTGAGAGCAATGGAAGGTCTTTTATGAGTTTTGAATACACACTTGAAAATAATGTTATTTTTAAACCAGAGCTTAATGTCACTTTTGGACTCAATGCTGAAAAATGCTATATTAAGGCTAGAATGTTATTCGAGACATCAGGACAGAACCCAATGAGTTTCAGAAAAACTCCTTCTTCAGGGATTTAAGCAGGGGTATGTCGTGTCTAGAAAGCAATCCCATTGTTGAGTATATCAACCACATGAAATAATACCAATTTATTATCAATACACTGTCATATTACCTAGTCCAAGTACTTTTTAGCCTTGTCTATTTAATAACACTGATATTTTTTTGAGCATGTAATGTGACTGTATACTCTGTGGATTTTTTGTAATACATTTGGCATACAAGGCTTTTATCAAAATATAAACAATTGTTTTATCTGCCTTAAAGGTCCCATGGGGATTATGCATGACACTTTTTAGTAAAGTTTATATTTGGACAGGTATTGAGAGACTATCTTTTAGCTGGGGGTGAGTCTAGCTAATACAAGCCTTCTCACATATTCATGAGGCATGATGATATTCTTTTATATATATATATATATATATATATATATATATATATATATATATATAAAACCGATGTTTATTGAATTTTTAAGACAATACAGAGAAAGGAGAACAAAAACAAGATGCAAGTATTCTGCAGCAGTACACTGAAATATATGAGTATTCAAAATCCAAGTACATGTGGATAGGCAAAGGAAGGGTGAACCCAACACACAGCGAGGAATTTATAGTATGTAAACCATGCATTTATTTAGGGAAACAAGCAGATAGTGGCCAAAGTTGGGTGATCTGCCAATGCACAAGGAATCCTAGATAAGGCCAGTACAATACAATAAACAGATGACATGATGATATTCTGATACCTGTAAAATATAATGTAGAAAACTGCTTGGTCAAATAATCCCTGGGGAATGAAGATCATATGGGACATACTGGCTTGGCTAAAGCTGCTATTGCTCCACTGAGATAAGATTGGCACCGGGGTTGTCTGCTCAGCGTATAACCTTGCTTACACACTCATGAGTGTTTATACCACAACTATCTTTCATGTCTATAAGTACCTTAGGGCAGCAAACTGTCTAAAAACAACCTTGAATATGACCCTGGAGGACCAGAGAGAACACCATAACGATTTTGCTGTTGGGTATAGCTATTTATAGCCCCTTGTAATAATGTTATTTAGGTAAATATAACAATCTTTCTCATATATCTGTTTAACCACAGGAACAATAATACACTTCTGTATTCTGTTCTTTAATTTTTAACTTGAAACTTACTAAGATTGTTCCGTGTAGTTAAATTCTAAGAGCAAGCCTTGCTTAGCAACTAATCTTACATTAGTGGAAAATTAACTAACAAAAGCATGACCAACAATGCTGTCTGACAGCTATTGTTTCCAAATTACAGCAAAAACCAGCAATTATCTGCTTGTCTAGGGGTCTGGTATCTATGGGAGCTGCATTGAGATTTTAACTATATTAGAAAGAGATGTTTCTGCAGTTTCTGAGCCCATCAGTATTGCTTGTGTTATAAGTTCATATTTTGTGCCTAATGTGCTGTTCTAAGGATTAAGGTTTTATTAAGTCAAAAGATTTGGATGCCTCTGCAGTAATTTGTGCAAATTACCATATTTTCCAAAATCAGGAATAATAGCTAAAACTAAACTAAAATGGTCTTTCAACTGGGTAGCTTTTGGTTTCTCTAAGTCCATGTACATTTCCACATTGAGCTGCTGCACAGTGAGGGCACTAGGTGTATATGCCTGGTAAATCCAACCTTCAGCTAACATCCAAACTTCAGCTAAAATATTTTTTAAAGTTTTGGATAGAGTATGAAAGGGTTAGCACCCTTGTCAACATTTTTTGAAGCCTTGGCCCCCATAGAGGAAATGTTTCTTCATTGCCTGACTAGCTGATGAATATCAGAGAGGGTGAGAAGTAAAGAGATTGTGATTTAGGGCTTGTTCACATGGCACATTTTTTGACAGCTCATTCATTTCAATGGGCTGGCAAATGCTGGGAATGCACAAAAAGTACAGCAAGCATGAATATTAAAAAGTGCTCTTGTACCAGACTTCATGCTACTGTGGTACCACGCATTTGGTGGCTGCTAATGCGTGTGTTTGTTACATGCATTTGGGATGCCATTCACAATTAATAGCACCCGCATACATTTCC